GTCAAGAAAAAGTTTGTGTTGCTGGAGGAGTTGGCATTTATGCTTGGTTCGAACTTCCAGCTTGAGGATTCGTCTGAATGCTTAGCACCTGTTAAAGTATAGGTCCTAAATTGCTTAATGTGCTGGCTATATGACCTACTCGATTCTTAAGAACTGCTAAGCGTCTTTGACTCAAATTCCCTTTTTCAGGACGGATATCCTGCCCTGCACGTCGAGACACTGAACGGTCACGAGGTTCTCTGGATCTTTCGCGAGGAGGACCAGCATTGCCAGATTCATCCATGGCGCCCGATCTACGGATGTGAGGCTAGTGAACAAATCTAGGCAACCTTCTGTCCTACGCTCCTTTACAGGAGCTCCGCTACCATATGAGAACTCACACCTTTTAGAGTTCAACTAAAATGTCAACACAACAAAATGAAAAGTAAGTGATGTACACTTCTCGAGTTGTGCTCGACTGCGAAAGTCGACACGCGGCCCACCGATCCCACGCGAAGCTGCGTCTTTTCGCTTCGCCTTGAGCCAACCGGTACGGATGGCAGCTTCGAGTACTTTTGTTCTACACTTCTCGATTTGTGCGCCGAAACGCACGACGGCCAAAAGCGGTGTGTGCAACCGCGACCAACTGAACCAAGTGATCGAACGAAACGAAATGTGGTTGTCCTATTAGTTGCTCAGGGTGCCTATATTTCACACCACCACCACCACCACCACCACCACCACCACCACCATACACAATTGAGCAGTGTTTCGTTTTGTGGGATAGGCTTGCATCGACAACTCCGAAGTTCTTACGTCAACTTCTAAGGACTTCATTGGTTGAGCATCCGTGATGGATAAACTGGAACACTGTAGCACTGCCAAGTGAAGCAATCTGAGCTCCTCTTTTGCATGGTGCTCGGAGATTGCAAGACGCTCAGTCGATTGGCCTTCACAAAACTGGTGGTAAGAGCTACAAGCGGGCGTTCTCTCTGGCTTGGAGCCAAGCATCGAAGTGCTACAAACTCCAAACTGAACAAAGTCTCCACACATGCAAGACTAAAGTCTCCAGAGAGATTAAATTGGCCGCTTTCACAAGTTGTGGATGGGTCCCAGAACCCCAAGCACTTGTGCTGTGATGTGAAAAAGAAACTCTGGAAGGTTCCCAATGGCGGTCCAAAGAGAGCTACAAATGAGTTCCGTGATCAAACCAGGCATTGTCCGGGCGCTCAAAAGCCCTACACTTCGACCGGTGTGACCAAAAAGAACCACAGAATCACATTCAAAACAAGGCTTGGATAGCAAAACATTTGCATGTAAAGACACAGGTGATGAATCCAGGTCCGTTGAAGCTATATCATTCACAGAAATGGCACAAGTTGCGACTAGGGCTGGGACTTGTCCAGAAGAAGCCGGGCTCAGGGAGAGGATGATACTCAAAAACAAGGCAGCACGCAAGATCAGGTTCTCTACAATAGAACATCCCCTGGTTACTGTAGCAGGGAGTAATTTCCAGATTCATGGTATGAGTAAGCAGTGGCCACTAGGTCCTTTGGACTACTCACCAAGCCTGCTTTTTTAAAACTTTTGTCCATGAGTCGATGAGATCAAATTTATGCCACCCCCCCAGGAAAGAAAAGCCACGCTCGTTGAACCTGTAAAGCATGGTACTGCCACTGCCTTCAACTAGTATCTTCACAAGCCAAACTCATATGTACTTTAGCGCCCCTTGCTACTGCCTTACATACCCCCCTAGAACCCTTTGAATGTGCTGACTGCTTCCTTGTTGAGGTAGGGCGCGCAGCTCTCCTGGAACTCTTGAAGGTTGGCCACATGAACCTGCACGCCGTGAGTTTCAAGACGTTCTTATCTGTAGAGCGCTCTCTAGGTCACAAAGGGACAAGCTGCGGCTATCAAGCAAAAATTGTTGGGGCGCTGAGCCCTAAAGACCCTCCAAAGGTTTCAACAACTCCCTCCAACTCTCCACTCTCCACCGACCTGTAGTTCCAAAGTGCTCCAGTCCAAGCGCCAGGCAAGACCACGGAAATGCCTTCACATATTTTCTCTAGGAAGACCAAGAGAGGCGAAAGTATGTTGAAATAGCTTCCATTCAAATGGCTGCATGGGAAACAACTACATGATCATTTGATGAGAAAATCACTGCTCTCTTGGATTCTCCCAGTCCCCACCTCATTGTGATGCGGCGCAACACCTCGCTGCAGTTCTAACAAACTCACCTTCACTGGGAAAGAAACATGAAGTACAGTATCTTGTATTGTGGTTTGCTACCTTGGGGTGCATAGGTTTAACTTATTGGTGTTCTTATGGCACCAGCTATGTTAAGCCACTCAATCTTTGACCCTGGGCATTCATTCCTAGCCGTCCTAACCAGGAATCATACCCAGGGTATCAGTAACAATGCCCTCCTGAACAGGGTGGCTCAACCAATACATGCCAATACCTCACACATGCATGACCTTGCATCCCATGTGGAGCACAAATTGCAAGCTGGTATAAGATATCCAGGCTTTGTCTAGGCCTAGGCAAAAACCAATGTTCGGAGGAAGATGCGAAAAAAGGACTGCTGAGTCGAGGAAAGTTTACCTTTAAAATCCGAGCCTTCAGCAACTTCAGAGCAGGAAAGGTGTCTTCATCAATAAAAGAATGTTCGCATTTTTTCCGCAAGAATGAAACCAGAAACAAAACTAGTGTTGTTCCCTGAAGTTGATTGTAGGAACCCCTCCAACTTGCTCAGGCCTGGTGCACCATGGTCTTCATTGAATGGGCACCTGCCGGTGTGGTGCTCTCCAGCGTCTATCAAACAATCATAGAGTATATAGAGTCTATGCTAGATTAAAAGCATAGGAAACAAAAAGGTGGACTTGGATCCTTCAACAATGGGCCTTGTTGAAGCGGCACAAATCCACCTTCTTGTCTTCTTTTCTTTTTGATTTACTCATCGTCATAGACCGTCTACAACCTTGTATCCATTCATTAGATAAGTCTGTGCCTTCTCTGACAGCAAATGAGCTTTTGGGGAAGGCTTGCTAGGTGGTGAAGTTCCTCAGCCGGGATTTTTGACTCCAAAGAGATTTCCATTGTTGAGAGTCGATTTAGAGCGACTACATCATTCAATGCGACGAGGGCTCCAGTTTGCCTGCGGCAGACACTTGCTCCCTGCAGGACAGCTCGGTTAATTGAGGCTTGATTCAAAGAAGACCAAATCTGAGCGCTTTCAACTGGTTGGCAAAGGTGTTCCTGGCTGCCTACCATCCATAGCCATTCCTTCTAAGGGTGGCCAGCGTGTCAGAACTTGAAAACAATTGGAGATTCCTTGGATTTTCCCCGCGAACACTTCTTTGGTACAGTGCAATTGGCAGTTCCTTTGGTCTTACCTTCGCTTCGCTGAGTGGAACACAATTGAATGTCATTTACTTGACCCAACTAGGGGCTCCTGGCCTTACTACTAGGAACAAGGATGCTATTAGGAGCAAGGACGCTACTAGGGGCTTAGTAAGAAAAACATTCATTTGCTTGACCCAACTGTGTCTCTCACGATAACCGGAAAGACCAAGCACAGCATCCAACGGGTTATAGCAAAATGCAAAGCTGCAAAGCCCATTCGTTGGAGGGTTCCCTCTCGCACTCTCTTTACCACCACCCAAGAACACTCATAGAAAATGAACCCAAACCTGATGTGCAGTACCAACTTAGAGCTATATATATATATTCTTCCTCCACCATTCCAACCACATCAACTGACAGCCTTCGCCATCTGCGCGCTGCCTTGGCATGGGGACCATGACACTTTCTAGCAGCTAGCAAAGGCAAGGGATGCCTTTGAGACTCGTGGCGCGTTTGACACCTACAGTGGCTCCTCCTCAGGTCTTGCGGATCCTGACTTAAATGGAATCGGACAGTCCCATGTGGCGCCCCAACAGCAAAGTGTGCATCGGCAGAAGCAGTCGATCGCCTCCCTGGCAGACTCGGGTAAGGACAAAAAACCTGGTGGGCGTGTCATCTGATGCCAACTGTTCAAAGGTTGTTCCAGTTCACCGCATACACACCCAAACACTTCAGAAAGCCGTTTGGTCCAGGGTATGACCACACTTCTCTCAGATGAAATTGCAATTCCGGCAAGAACAATGAATCAATCAAGCTCCACCACATGCCCAGAATGGTTTGAAGCTTCCTTTCTTCAAGCCTGTTTTCTGTTAGGCCTTTCCGGCTGCTCTTTCAGCCTCTCAGCCAAATCCAGACTTAAGTTTAAACGAGTTGAAAAGGAAGACCCAGAAGGAGCATGTCCAGCAAGAAAATGCTGTGTTGTGAAACATGCTGACTTTGCACTTGACTTACAACGAAAACGTCTCAATGAAACAATTGTCCCTCAGACCTACTTCGACTACCTCCTGGGTTTCCGAATACATCAGCCGATATCTAGTTGAGCTTCGCAACAGAAGATTTCTGCAGCGGCCTCGACCAGCATCAAAAACTCGGCCATGTCAGTGGCTTCTCTAGTTTGTCTACTCGAGACTTCACAGCAAGAATTGGATTTCAGCATCTTTTTGGATTGCAGATCTGTTCCAATGGTCCAGAATGGGAACTAACCAGATTGAGCTGATAACATAACTTGGCTTGCCATCAATAGGATGATGCCGACACAAACGAACAAGGGAAGTTTAATTGTTGGCAGCCTAGACTGCCTACACTGCAGGGTCACCCTGAAATCATCTTTCAAGGTCAATTTGAACGAGAGATTGTCCAAACAAAATCTATCAGCCTTGGTAATCACCAGCAAACTCCAGAAACAAAGCGACGAAGCTGACCACCCCCAAAGCCGGTTCTGTCGTCCACCAGACGAGGGAGACTCTGGTAAGACATTTTACAGCCCCTCACACTAAATTTGCAAGTTCTACTACAGTATTGTGTGAAAACAAAACATTTGGGTGCTGAATTTCTTGCTGTTTGAGCTCACAAGCTCACCGAAAAATCTCATCGGCCATGTCTCACTTTTCTGTCACTCACAAAATGATGTTGCCCATAAATCCATGACCGTGGTTGATGGCAGCGAAGTAGGCGGCGAAGACCAAGGACACGATGGCTTGAAGCTTCATGACCTCAGAATGGACATCCACGGAAGCCGCTGAATTAGAGCTGTCAAGGCTGTCAACTTGTGAAGCTTTCGGCTTTCACCTTCAAGTCATTCAAGTCCTCAACAGCTCCCAAAGGCCTTCCCTCATTCTCCGAAAGCTGCCAAGAGTCGATATTCAAGGCAGGTCCGGAGGTGTCCTGAACATTGGGTGGCCTCCAACCTAATTGCAATGGCCTCCAACCTACTAGCGAGCGCCTCCAACCTACTAGCGATGGCCTCCAACCTAATTGCAATGGCCTCCAACCTACCAGCGATGGCCTCCAACCTAATTGCAATGGCCTCCAACCTACTAGCAAGGGCCTCCAACCTACTAGCGATGGCGTCCAACCTACAGTAATTGCAATGGCCTCCAACCTACCAGCGATGGCCTCCAACCTAATTGGAATGGCCTCCAACCTACTAGCGATGGCCTCCAACCTACTAGCGATGGCCTCCAACCTAACTGCAATGGAGTCAAACCTACAGTAATTGCAATGGCCTTCAAACTAATAGCACCTAATCCTTTGGTTCTGTTCAAAATGTTGCTTTGCCGCTCTTTCCCACCGCCCGTCGTCCTTGAATGGATCTCCCACAGTGTCACCCTGCACTGCCGCATCGTGGGCTTCCTTGGCCTTTGGCGCGGCATCCTTCTCTTCCTGCGATTTACACAGCGAGGAATCCTACTCACCGAAAGGATCTGAAGGGCCCAACTGACAGCGAGATCTGTAAACTTGAGTTGCTGTCGGATATTTGGACTCTCTTCCAAACACTTGTTTGCGGTCAAACAGAATGCTTTTCCTGAGGCCCTTCCTTACCCTCTCCTGCGTCTTGGGGTTCTTGGTGTACCGCAGCTCCGGATCATCGGAGAAGCCGTTCCTGATTGAGCAAGTGTCCATTGCAGCACTCAAAACTATATAACTATCTAACAAAAGGGCCGCTTACAGCTTCGCGTTTAGTTTGTGAGCCTTCTTTCAACAAATAGTAGAAATTTGCATATGTTGCTGATCTATTGTCTGACAACCCCAATCGCAAAGGCAGATTCAATCGTTGCATCGAGGTGCTTGATGAACTTCTTGCAGTTGTCCCAGGCACCGCCGGAGTTGGACATGGAGATAGCAAGCTGCACTGATGAGCCCAAGGAGCCAGTCAACAATCCAAAGACGGCCTGCTGAAATGGCTCTTTCTATCACCTCTTGTCATCTCTTGCAAAACAAGTTCCCCAGAAACTAGTTCAAGCCCCCCCTCATCTGCTAGTACTTCGAAGCTCATTCTGCTAATACTTATCACTTCCTCCAAGATGAGGGAAGGGAAGCAACTTTGTCGGCCCTTGCTGCTACTTGTGAGGGGACATTGGGCGACGCCTGGACACCGAAGAATGTTCCTGCCAACAGCGGGGACAAGATCACCAAGCACGCTGGTGCCACCATCTCCTCACAAGACAAAGTCATGTCCTTTTGGGTGTTACTGTGTGCGACACTGCGTGCTTCAGTGACACAAATCAAGATTGGATGGCACCTAGGACCTCAGGTCTGGCATGGATTCACCTGTCTCGGAAGACATCTAGTGACTGACTAGTAGTGGAGCTTGAGGCTTTCTTAGAAAGCGCAAAACCAGTCCTTCAAGGAGGCTGCTGTGGAGATCTGAATGCACGTCAATGAATCTGGCTTCAGCTCAGTGCCTGCAGCCCAACCAGAAGAAAATGGAAGATGTTTAAAATAGGCATGTTCTGATTGCGTTCTTTTCATGTATATAATTGTATAATGTATGTGTATATATATATATATACTGTAAATCCTTATGTGGTATAGTAATAAAATGGGAAGTGGACATGTCCTGCACAACGTCTGGCCCATTCATGTTCTTGCACCTTGTCCAGATGCTTTCTCCACAAAAATCTCCGAATCATTCTGAATCATCGGTTCAATTGAATTCTCTGGGCGTCACAACTATCACATCTCCTGGATTTGTCTTGTAGTCCTGAGGAACACAACTACCTCTGCATGCTTGAACTCCTGGTGTCAGAGTTCCAGCCAAGGCCAAGCGGCTTCCGTCGAGCAAGGTCTTGCCCTTGGAGTCCTCCATTGCTCGACAGTGAACAAAACAGCTTTTCATGGTAATGTGACAGTGCCGCAGGTTCTCACTATAGTCACCAGGCACTTCGTCAGGTCCTCTCCTCGGTGCAGGCTAGTACCTTTCTAAGCTGCCTGAGCTTTGTCTTTGCCTTTTCTTCCGGCCCTTCAAGGCGAGCTCGCATGCTTTTCCCAGGCAGAACATACAAATCGGGTAGATACTCTTCAAAGATCTTCAAAGAGTATTTCATTGGGGAGCGGTGGAGAGGTTGTATCCAACTCAGGCTGTATACTCTGACTGACAATCTGGGAGATGTTGGCATCTCATTCCGAAGCAGTGCTGTTTGGGTCCCAACACAGGCACGTTTTGTTGAAACCGCAAAGCAAGAGAAAGCTAAACGTAAAGCTAAACGCCAAAACAATTGCTACTGGTGACAAGTGCATCGCTACAACAAGGGCATTACTACTAGTAGCACTCCCAGTTCTCCTTGAGGCTGAACTGTCGCTTCACCTCTGCGACCATCTCCCCAGCAGCCTTTCCCACACTCTTCATCGTCAGCGCGGCGAACCAGTAAGGAATCATGCAACCGATGATGAGGAAGGCCTCAGACGGGAAGGTGCGGAATTGGTAATTAGATGTGATTCAGCGGTTAAAGGGGTACCCAAGGCGGTTCACACGGAGAATAATTGTCTGTAAGGACTTCTCAGGCGCTCTTTTGCGTTGAGATGTCGGAAATCGGACTGATATATCTGCCGACCCTCTGTGCAAACAGAGGTGACAATTGTCGAAAGCTTTTGCTGCAAAGATGTGAATGTGAATCTTTCCTCTATATATGTAGAATTTGGACTTGGCTTTCACCCTGCCCGCAGGCTTTCTCTCTGTTCCTTTTCTTGTTATTCATCTTCTTGCTCTTGTTATTTTTATTGCTCCTCCTCCTTCTCTTCTTCTTGCCGTTGTTATTTTTTGGTATTCTTCCCTGCTGCTGTCCCGTCCTCACGGACTTCAACAAGTGTCTTCTTATCGGACGGACCTGGCCGAAGGCCAAGCTCCCTCAGGCTGCGTGGTAAATTGCATCAGCAACCGAGGAGTTCTTGGCTTTGCCCGTTGCTCTTTAAGCTGAACGACTGTCTCAGGAATTGGCACAATGCCTTCAAGATTGAAATGGCATGCCGATAGTTGTCAGTTTCGATCTGTGTGCAATGAAATTGTCCTTGGGATCTTGAGGAAAAGGATATTGCTAACTGCAGATCACTTTCTCCATGTTCTAGCTCTTTTCTCCTGACAGGGCGTTTTCTTCTGAAAGCAACAAAGGCACCAAAACTGGGATGAAGGCCACGTTTTGTAAGACACAATCCGTAGCACAAAGAGAAGCATTCAAACTTGAAAGTCTTCATACAGAATGATGACATCAAAAACAGAGTCGAGGCGAAGACGACAGACCACTGACAGCAAACAAACAACTTTAAACAATGTCAGTGCATCTGCAACAAGTTTGAAAAAGGTCGATTCCCGATATGCTTCGGGCATCCATGAAAACATGCTTCTGCTTGCCCTAGATACTTCCTTGCGACAATATGTATGACAATGGAAGCATTCAGCCCATGTTTGCAGTGGACAAACGTCATCTTCATAGCAACAAGAGACTCCAGCTCCGCCCATTTGTGCCAACCCCCGTTCTGTAATGATTAACAAACAACACCAAAGGCACATATCTATATATATATATGTATGTACTTTCTTTGTTGTGAGCACCTCTTCGGTCGGTCCCAAATGCATAGGAGTATATAGACATGGATTGCTTCTGCGCACCTCCGACTTGCAAAAGTTTCAAAGGTTTCGTGCTGGGTCTCTATCCAAAATTCCATCCGCTTCTGGAAGTATCCTCGCTTCTGTGCGTCCTTTGCTGAGGGTCCGAACAAAAGTGGTTGGCTCCAAGATGTTCACACCTGTCTTCACCTTGCACAGCTTCCGATTTGATTTGATGAATGCATTGTCTGTCTAATCTATCTTATTTGGTACTTTACTTATTACTTCACTTGACATCAACTGGTTGATCATAAAAAGAGGTAGAAAAGGTCCGCTTCCGGAGTCAGCTCCTTTGTGTCTCAATAGAGGCAACAGATTCCATCACAAAATTTGCAGTGTATCTCATGGCTTCATCGCACCCCCCCATGCGCACCCTGAGACGCACCACGAAGGCACCGTACAATGCCAAGGACACCAAAGCCTGCAGCTAAGCAACGGAAGGCCTTCCGATGCTCAATGTTCGATGCATTTTCTAACAAAATACCTAGGTTTTAAGAAAATTATTTGAAGAAAACCGAATTATGATCTTGGATCCACTTGCTAGCAGCTTTCAGAAGTTGAAATTTCGTAAGAGAATAACAAATGAATAAATACATGATGACATACAAACACTCTAGAAATCTACAGTTGGTCCCAAATTGCAAACGAAAAGATAAGGCGAGGTTTATTGGTGAGGTTTATTGCCAAAAAAAACAAAGATTGTTTTCTTGGCCAGGCCACAGCGGACCCAATGGCAAAGCCCTTGCCGATGGCTGCGGTGGTGTTGCCTGCAGCGTCCAGGGCATCGGTGCGGCGCCGCACCTCAAGGCTCACGGTATCTGAAACAAATGTGGTCTGCTTTCTTGTTTCCTTGTTCTTTAGATTTTTCCTTGCCCTTTTCTTTGTTCTTGTCGTCATTCTGTACTGGTTGCAGCAAAATAGACGAATTGTGTCAGTTTATATGAGTGGACTGTCCCCAATAAAACTTTACACATGGACATAGTCAAAGTCGATGTCACTTCCACAAATTTGTTTGATATGGATTTTGCGCACGGAAACTCCTGCATCTATTAATTTTGTGGAAGTTTCTGCGCCTCAGGGTTGAAGAGCGCCATTTCCGCAATGCCACCTGCGTTGTCACTGATGGGCCCGAAGCCGTCAATCGTGAGGCCGCAAGCCAAGGTGGCCAACCTCTGGGGATGCAGCGATCGGCAGAACAATTACTATTACTGGATGCTTGCATGCACTTGCACTAAAGGTGTGTGTGTGTGTGTATGATACCCTTGGAATCACAGGATCCGTTGTTTTTGTGTTCTAGCAGGGGGACTGGAACCCATTTGCCTATCCAGTCCAACGAAGCTGTGGCATTTCGGTGGATGAGTGGTCTGATCAACCACTTGCACATGCTTGTTCTGACTTGGAAACTTCCTAGCGAACAAGAACTTTCGGCCATTGCGCCGGTTTGCATCGGCAGTCACGCATTGGTGTTTTGAGCGCTCGTCGTCATCCTGCGTCGCGATCATCGACTTTGAACTTTCAGATTTGGGCCTCTTTCTTTCTTTGGTTAGACCTCCAAGATGCTGAGACCCCCTTACATGATTTTCTCAGGCATATGGTTAGGTTGCCGTGTGGCGAGTGGCATTCAGTTCAGTACGTGTGTGTGTGTGTGTATGTCCACACCTGTGCCTAAGGTTTTGAGTCACAAAGAATGCTACTAGGGCCCCTGGTTTTGCTAAGGGCTCCTGGCATCGCTACTAGCATATAGTTTCTCAGCGCGGAAAAAAGAGGCAGGGGGGGCAACCCCATGGATGCAGTTGGTTGTCCAACGAAGAGGGATGTATTCCATGGCTGATATGATCCTGGGACGCTGGGATCACGTACCTGCCACAATTTTTAACTCTAGGATCCTTCTTGTTTCACCCGTGTTCAACAATCCAAGTGAAGCTGACTCTTTCACCATTCGGTTTGCAAGTCAAGGTCTACAATGCAGCTGGTAACGTAATCGTCTAGAGTGGGACTTCATACTGATACTAGCTCTTGCGAGCAACAATTTAAGTGTGTTTTCGCCACAGGGTCCCACTGAGGGCTGTGGTGCGATCCCCGTCGAGGGGCGCTGCATGCGCGTAGACCCAGATCCTGGGGGATACCATGCCGCAGGGCTCACTGTGGTTCACACTCCAGTCCGGATTTACACTTTTGGATTGACTGTCTTTGCATGATACCACTGATACGGTGCCGCAGGGCTTACTGAGGTTCAACCCATTCGGATCTGCACTTTCATGTCAGTCTAAGTAACCACAGGCGGGGCTTAGGACGCGGGCGCGTCGTACTACCGACTGTTTTTGTCGCATGTGCTTTTCATGCTCTTCGGCTCTTTCTCTCTCTTTTTGTTGCTCTTCGTTTCTTGAGGCCTTTCTTTAGGTTCCAGGTGTCTTTCAGACAATGGGTTGCGCCGGCCCAAATCGGCTTTACCTGAAGGCCAATGATGGCAATGCCTACGGGCCACACTAACCCACCCTCCCCCTACCTCCCTGCCCCTGGGCCTCCGTTGCTATCCCACCCGCTATTTGGGCAACAGAAGGAAATCGCACTCAACACACTTGTGCGTTGGCGCCTTTCCTTCTGTTTCTCCTATCCTATTGCTAGCTACCCGGGCGGTTTAAGACAATGTCCCGCTCGCGTTCTACTTTCATGTAACTAAGTGGGCCTCGTAACTACACCTATCTTTCTTTCTTGCCCTCTTAGTCTGCTTTTGTTTTGTTTGCTTTTTCTGTCTTTCTAAGGCTTTTTAGGTGGCTAGTATTTTTCAAAAAGCGCCAATGTTAGCGCTATGCGCGCAAAGCTTTGCGACACAAACGACGCTACTAGGGGCTTCTGGCCTCGCTACCAGGTGCCAGGACGGTACTACCAGGGGCCTCTGACCTTTCTACGGGGTGTAAGGACACTACTAGCGGTTCCTGGCCACGCTACTAAACTGCAAGCAGGGGACAGTGCGCCGAGTACGGCTTCGTGTGTGTGTCCACACCTGCGCCCAAGGTTTTGAGTCACAAAGAACGCTACTAGGGCCCGTGGTTTTGCTACTAAGGGCTCCTTGTATCGCTACTAGCATATAGTTTCTCAGCGCGGAAAAAAGAGGCAGGGGGACAACCCCATGGACGCGTTGGTTGTCCAACGAAGAGGGCTGCATTCCATGGCTGATATGATCCTGGGACGCTGGGATCACGTACCTGCCACAATTTTTAACTCTAGGATCCTTCTCGTTTCACCTATGTTCAACAATCCAAGTGAAGCTGACTCTTTCACCATTCGGTTTGCAAGTCAAGGTCTACAATGCAGCTGGTAACGTAATCGTCTAGAGTGGGACTTCATACTGATACTAGCTCTTGCGAGCAACAATTTAAGTGTGTTTTCGCCACAGGGTCCCACTGAGGGCTGTGGTGTGATCCCTGTCGAGGGGCGCTGCATGTGCATAGACCCAGATCCTGGGGGATACCATGCCGCAGGGCTCACTGTGATTCACACTCCAGTCCGGATTTACACTTTTGGATTGACTGCCTTTGCGTGATACCACTGATACGGTGCCGCAGGGCTTACTGAAATTGTGCCGCAGGGCTTACTGAGATTCAACCCATTCGGATCTGCACTTTCATGTCAGTCTAAGTAACCACAGGCGGGGCTTAGGACGCGGGCGCGTCGTACTACCGACTGTTTTTGTTGCATGTGCTTTTCATGCTCTTCGGTTCTTTCTCTCTCTTTTTGTTGCTCTTCGTTTCTTGAGGCCTTTCTTTAGGTTCCAGGTGTCTTTCAGACAATGGGTTGCGCCGGCCCAAATCGGCTTTACCTGAATGCCAATGATGGCAATGCCTACGGGCCACCCTAACCCACCCTCCCCCCTACCTGCGCAAAGCACCGAGGCAATCGACTGAGTATTGCAAAGACTTTCGAGACTTCATTCGACGGCCGCTGGTTCTTCAACTGATAGGTGGCAGCTCCTCGTGAAACTGATTTCGTGACCTGGACAGCTCCTCGTCACTCTCGTCTGAAAAGCAAGACACCAGGGGCACACCCGACAAGCAGCCCTAGCCGCCATGCGATGCCAATGGCCGCCATAAGTAAAGCTAAGCACCGACAACTTTGATAGCCAAAACTGGAAGAGCAAAATAACAAACTTGTGAGATAATGCCCAGCAAATCTTCACGGGAAAAAGGCTGAACTCTAGAGTTTATACGTAGTAGATGTGGCAAGGAAAACAGAATAGACTCTCAAGAGCAAACTGAGTAAAACAATCGCATCCCTGGATATTCTTCAGAGTTAATACAACAAATGAAGACAAGGGCCTCAACCATCTCCAGACTATAGAGGTTAGCCAAACAACAGAGAAAGGACTGAACTCTGGAGTTAACCTGAAAATGGACAGGTATATAAAAAGACTGAACTGTAAAGGTTCAACCTTGAACTCTGAGACTCAGTCCTTTCTACAAGTTCATGCCGAACAATCCAAAGCCCATACGGGCACATGCAAAAATGCGAAGTGTCATTGTCATTCTGTGTCACACACACTTTGGCCTTCTGTCAGATCCAACGGGCCCGGCCACAAACCAACTCCCGCAATGCTTGCAGTTTCAATCAAACTGGCTTTTGGTACAAATCATCCAGCACCCTACCTCCCTTTTCCATCTTTGTCCATGGCACATGCCCAAGGCTGCCAAAGCAATGCCATAGAGATCACAGAGCTGGAAGGACACGAAGATCGCGGAGGAGAGAACAAAGACAGGGATGATGCAACCTGGTGAGTTGTAGCTTGAGTTGCTAATTGCAGAACAGCAAATAACAACCAAACAACTCGAAGCACTGTCAGATTGCTGGCGGCAGCAGCAGCAGCAGCAGACAGCCGGGAGCCGACAGCAGCTGTAGTTGATGCAGTAGGAGTAGAAGGGGGTGGTAGGAGTAGCAGCAGCATTAGTGCGGTCGTGCAGTAGTGCAGTAGTCGCAGTAGGCGTAGTAGCCGTAGTAGAACTGCTGATGATGGAAGAAGTCTTGTACCACCTGAGCCCAGGGAGAACCCTTATCTCGGCTCCACACGCTTCAAGAAAAGGTCCACACGCCCACAGATCCAAGCGACTCTTGTAGCCAAGTGCCAAGCCTTGGATGATGTTCACAGCTGTTCCAAACTTGCAGGCACTTGCCAGCTCGCGGGTGGGGATGAAGGAGTGGCTGGTGAAGTACTCCGTCACCAGTCCAATGATCATGCCACCTCGGAGTAAGACACACTGTGTCTGACACGTCTCTCCAGTGTCGAATCCAAAGAATTCAGGAATGGATGAACAAGGGACTTTCAGACATCTATGGGCCCTTAGACACAACTATTCTTCACTGACAGTCTTTACACTCAGGTGAGTACCAACGCATCCCATCGTGGCGCAAATAAAGGCCTCACACACGAGAACTCCACACGACAACTCATGCATCTTGAACCCGAGCTTCCTGGAAAAACTTGTGCCCTTCATCCCAAGCGTAGTAGCTGTCATGCTCCTACTACTCCTACTACCCCTACGAGTTTCCTACTTAAGCTAATTTAAGCTACCAGTTTCTTCTTCCCGTTCACATACAATTTCATCCACCATCCACGCCTTGAAGGGAGTGCCGTGGATCTTTGCCGGTGTCCCATCTTCGTCCAGGCGGACGCCCTCCAGGCGGAACTCGCTCGGCAGCAGGTGCAATGCCAGGAGGTAGATCACTGGCAGCATGATGAAGGCCTCAATATGCAGAATGTCGGTATAAGTGAGTGCGAATGGTGCAAATAATCTGAAATCAATTGAAAATTAAATCAACAACTTCTCTACACCTCTACACAAATCCCAGTGCATGGTCATGACCAAATAAGTATCTGCTCTTGCTTCTATGCTGCCATGCTTGCTCTTCCCAAGAGATTGATCTGAAAGCCAAGTAATCTAGGAACCAAATCACTGGTGCGAGCGCTTCTTCAAGGAGGCTCGCGCCCTCAGGCAGCTTCCTTGAGGAAGCGTCAGCTATCCTGCGTCCTGTTCCTAGGAGCGAACTAGTCACCCTTACTTAGGCACTTGTTCCTAGTAGCTTCTTGTTACTACTAGTAAGGCACCTGTTACTACTAGTAAGGCACTTGTTACTAGTAGCTAATTAAGTAGGCACCTACTTATATAATTGACCTTAATTGAGTAGGAGCGGGCTTAGAAAAGAAATAGAGAAAACCAAGAGGCCGTCAATACCAGCTGAAGCTTCAAGACCCACTCAATGTCCTTCTCCTCCCTCACTGGAGAGATGTTGGTGGCCTCAACTAGTCATCATGGCTAGAGTCGGCTAGAGAGACTGACACCTGGCCATGGAAATCATCCCAGTGAACAGTAATAGGTTTGCCAACTAAATAAACTATATAACCAAGTGACATAGAAACCACAGAGGATGCAAATGACGATGCCAGCTGCAGAGATTGACACTGGAAAGAGCATGGCATTCCATCCAGCCTCGAAAAGAGTGGAATGGCTCCTTGGCGAAGATTGGCGGAGACCAATGGCCCATGGCGGAGACCAAGGGCAGATGCGGAACTGGGCAAAAAGTTTACCAAATGTTGTGAGAACGAACCTGAATGTGCTCCAAAAAGGATTACTGATGATTACTGTTTCTCCGTCAAAGGTAGGCTTCCACCGCCGTACCAATCTGTTGTGCACATCGTTGCAAAAACTATCCCTGCAATCACCTCTCTGGAATCCAGATCCGTGATTGCACTAGCTGGTGACTCTGAACCTGTGAAAGAGTCTTCAGTTTAAGGCCCAGAAAGTCTGAGGACGGCACCCCTCCACAGCGGCAGCCGCAATGACCAGGGCAGCGCAGGTCGATTCGGCAAAGCTGCCGAAGAGGTCAGCGCCCATCCCAGCAATGTCACCGACGTTGTCACCGACATTGTCCTTGGTGCAGAATGAGGCAACGAACCCAGAAGAACACATGAGCTCTCGGAAGCAGGGATTGCTGAGGGCATCGGACTCCAAAAAAGTATTATCCAATCTGGAAGAGGGCGTCTGTACATACTTCAGGCAAACAAAAGTTTATGTTTGTTAACCATGTTCAAAAAACGCTGTAGGGTCAGCTTCGAATTGCCAAGTCCAACTTTCATGGCAGGTGTGGTACGGTCAATTACACCATTTAAAGTTGTATTCATAAAAGGCTTCCCGGTGTGAAAAAATGGCCGCCCACATGGCCCAAGTTCTCCCAATGTAGGATTCTAGGGGGTAAGGGTTGACATGAGTTCCTGCTTCCAGAAGCGCAACTTTTGTCTGGCCAGTGTATTTTCATGGGCATTTTGGTGAGTCTGTTGCCATGTACCAGCTCTGGTGACTCTGAACTGCTGACACAAACTCAGAAGCCAATTTACCGGCTTCACCAGTTGTTAGTTGATGGCTAAGCACATGTATCCACACTCGTCAGTTGTAAGTTGGGAAGTCTGCCGGGTCGATATTGCGGGGCCAAGCTTGTCTCAGACGGTGTGGCGGTGGATCGCAGCGCCAACTTGGGCAGAGTCATTCTCTCAAGGCTGAGAAACAGCAATGGTGGCCGGGTTGTTGGGATCGTCCTCATCCAGGCCGGCCACCACCTTTGCGAACGTGATTCTGAAGAAACTCCCAGCACCCCCTCTCTTGTCGGCAATCTTCTGAAAAAATTGATTCTGGTTGGCGCCGAGTTCTCTTTACAAGATCTCTTGATTCATGGGACTGCTTGATATACAGAAGATGCAATGATGCAACACTACCGGTGCTGCAAACTACAAGCCTCTGTCATTCCGGATCATTCCCATAAGAAGCGACAAATCACCGTTGGAGATCTCAACGACCGATCCACAGAATCTACGTTCACGTCACTTTGATGCCCACTTCAAATGACTTGAACTCCAAGGCAGATTGTTTCTGCCCGGACCTTGCCCACCAAGTCGGCACCCACATCTGCGGCCTGGACAAGTACCCACCGAAAACGACTCGATGCACAAACCGCATGTGGTAAAGAACAACAGCTGTGGGTTCCCATTAGTCCTTGCGACTAGCAAGTTGGTAAAGCGTCAGCAAATTGGCGACCAGCCAGTGTCATATTGCAACGAGTTCTAATTCAACTCCTGATGCTCTTTGCACAAAACCTCGGGGCAAAAAGGGCTAGCGGCTAGTGAAGGCCCTCAGGCAAATACCGCCTGAGGCAGTGACTTACCTGTTCTGGTGCAACTCAGCCTTGGTGTAGATGCCGCCACCCACACGGCCAAACATCGCCACAGTGCTGCCGCCCAAGCCATAGCCCGCAGCGCAGTCGAAGAGGATCTCCCAATCATCGGGGTCTGGGTAGACCTGGCGGATGTGTTTTCTTTGAAGAAAGTGTCTTACCGTAGCGAAAAAAAAGTTCGGTCTCCGCACCTTGCGGAAAACCGTCAACAGGGCCCAGAGCACAAGCACACCCAAGGAGCACAGGGCATAGCCCATCACGCTGCCACCGCGAAAGGCAGTGTTGAAGCCCAAGGTGTAGCCTCAAGGTGTAGCTCAAGCTTTTCACAAAGGTGTAGACCACAAACATCACCAAATGTTCAAAGTCGTGCAAACCGAAAAGTTGCACAATACTGCACAGATTTGACTCAAACACTATGCCAAACTGGTCACATTGTCACACTTCCAAGTAATTGTGAAGAGCTTAGGGCCTCCTTAGGGCAGGGGATATCTGATTGTGTGTGTCTGCGGCTTGGATCAACGTAAGCTGTACGCTATATTTACCAAAAGAGTCAAAAAATATATCCAAAGCCCGAACCATCTATACCAAGGCAAGTAACCATGATTGGCACACGCCAAGGTTGTGCGTGCATTCGAATAAGTTGCGATCCTGACGAGCGTTGATCAACGAACAAGTGAACTTTGTGTCGAATAAGCTTCGTTTGAATAAGTTCGCTTCGTCGCTTCGTTCAGGAGCTTTCGTTGAAGAATCTGAGCCCTTCGCCCGGCCTAATAGATCCTAATAGCTTTGCTGCTACCTCTTAAGCTGCGACCTACTTTCCTGCCTTGGTCTTCACGGCAGGGAAGAAGAAAAGAAAATGAAAACAAACAACGAAAAGAAGAAAAGAAGAAGGGAAGAGCCCTTTGGGGCCTTGTTAAAGGGGCGCTTCCCTTCTTGTTGTTCTTCTCATCTTCTTGTCTGAGTTTGCCGTTGTGTCCAAGGTTCATCATTCCCAGGAAGCCGCACAGCATGGAGGTGGCTGCACCAGTCAAGAAGGCACCAGCCGTGAGATAGCCCTGCATGGAGCTCTTTGTGCCCCAGGAAACCTCAGGGCTCCACTCTCCAAAACATGGTTCGGCAAACATAATGTCTTCTTGGGTAAACAACACTTGAAGAACTTGGAGAGTTCTGTTTTTCCTGTGGTGGTGTAATCATCTAGACTTTGTCTTCAAGATGTTCACAACGAGAGGCCAGGCCATAGATCACCAGACTGAAAAGCAAGCAGAAGGTGGTGCAGATTGCATATTCCACCTTCAAGAACCTTCAGGCGCAAGAGTGTCTGTCCAACTAATCCAAACATGAAAGTGGGTCAAACTGACTTCTTGAAACTTCCATAGCAACCAGGAAACCTCCATGACTTTATGTATGACTGGCAAGGTTACAGGCGCTGGGTTGCTGCTCAATCAAAATCCAACGATGATCCCCACCCGTTTTGAGAATGTAGTCTTGTTCAACCCGTAATGATCGTAATGCTGACAGTGTAAGGGCCTAGTCAGCACAATTGCCAAGCAAGCTGAGGACATCTGACAAAAACACTCATAGCTGGCGATAAGTGGATTGAAGACATGGAATGGAATGGACTCTCCTTTCCACGAACTGAGGAAGAAAGAGTTCTGAGGGGACAAAATCAATAAAGGAAATGCTAGGGAAGAATCGCCCCGGCAGAAACAATTTGGGATGGGATGAGGAGTCAAGGAAGCTGTTGGGCCAATAAGCCAAGGATGTGGGGTATGTGGTGGAGCCATGCAAATTTCAACGGTCACGAGCCAAAAGTCTCTATTTGACAATGCATGACCGCTTTGGTAAATATTGCTCCTGAACCTAGAGTGATGAAAATGAGCGCTGCAGCAAGAGAAATGGTGGAGCAGTGATTCAGAACAGTTCTGCAAGGCCGCAGTTCTGAAATGCCTGTTGAAGATTGAAGAGAGGTAGAGACTGGAATCAGGACTTAGAAAGACTTAACTTCAGTTGACCATTGCTTGGGGAAGGGGAAAATTGACTTTGGAAATATACTAGGAAACTACAAAGGCTTGCACCAGGGAGAGAACACTGGCTCAGCGACACTATAGTTTGGGACACAGAGAAAAAATGAATTATATGACTTGTGAATACGTATTTTCAATTTTTGTTTAAAATCATCTTGGGAGACTGAAATACTAGAAAGGTTACTCTGGGGAAAGAACACTGCCACAGTGACACTATAGTTTGGGACCAACATTGAAAAACAAGTAACTTTTGATTTGTTCAAAGTCTGTTATTGACTTTTTTTGATACATTAGGAAATTAGAAAGGTCTTCTTCGGAGACTGTGACAGCACACAGGTTTACACCAGGGAGGGGACACTGGCTCAGTGACATTATTGTTTGGTACACTATTGAGTTCACTGTTCTTTAGTACCCAATCTTCTTGGCGTCTGTCGGCCGCTGTTCCCTTTTACACTCCCCGCGCGGCTCAAGCTTTTCTCTGCGTCGAAGTGGCGGTCCGTGCTGCAAACGACGACGATCGGAGAATGCCACAACTGAGGGTAAATCATGGACGGCAGGTTGATGGTGCGACGATATGTGTCTTCCTTCCCTGCTTTGGATGTAGTGACAATAGTCACAGACGTAAGCTCGTCGCCCATGTGCCATCACCATTCATCCAATCGCAGTAATCCGGATATCTCCCATGAAACTGGCTCACCATTCTGTCTTGAAAGAAGTCCGACAGTGGCCTTAGGTAGGAGACCACACGGAGCTGCGTTCCGGTCAGCGGAATTTCCCCACTGTGGGCGATGGCATCAAACTGGCAATTCCCGCGGGGCGCGACAGGCCCGACGCAAACACATGGCTGCCAAACTCTTGTCCAACAATGCGTTCTCAGCCCGGATCTCTGCTTGCAAACCATCATTGTCAACAAGATTTGCAGCAAAAGCTAGATCCATGAGATCCAAGGCCCACCGCTGGGAGAGAACTATGTGATGGTGGTGAGAACAGAAGCTTCCATTCTTTCTGGGACGCTCGCATCTCTGACCCTTATTGGTAGCTGACACGCACATGGCCTCACTCTCTCCTCTCCACAGCAATGCACAATTGGTCGGCGGCCGACTGAAGAGGCTTTTGGTCTCTGGTCAAGGCTAGGACCAGGAGAAGGGGCACGCAACATATTCTTCACAGCTTCTTTGCTTCTTTCAGAAGAGCTGGTCACAGTACTGTGGCACAACCCCTTGTCTGACAGCCACCCTTTTGCCGCCTCGCAAGGATTTGCCCGGAGTCAGCCGAACACTTTCAAGAAGTTCCCATGCTTTCCTCTTTCACCCTCTCTTCTGCTGTTGCCTTGCAGGCACCACTGCATCCGCCATAGCACAGGTCCGCGAGCCTGCTGAGCCCGCCGTAGCCATTTTTGCAGTAAGCTCCAATCAATGAGTGCACAATTCTTTCACAAAGGAAGACCCTTGAAACTAACTTTGGAGTCAATTCCTGAAGCAACCATGCCAGAAATGAAAAGGATCCATAAGGATCCATGAAAAGAATTAACTCTGGAGTTAATTCCTCAAGCGACCATGCCAGAAATGAAAAAAATTGACTCCGGAGTTGATTGCTCGAACGACCATGTGATCATACCAGAACTGAAAAGAATTGAAAGTTTTCAAAGTACTCCTTTTCTTGAAGAGAACTGGCTTGCTTCTTGAACATGTTTGCGTCTCTTCAAAGACAATGCTTAGCTCTTGGACTTTACTCCCCGAACAATAACTGTTCCTTCTACAAAAGACGGCTTTCGTATTCCAGAAGATCCACTGCACATGAAAGTCAGCTGTGTAAACAGTGTAAACTGCAGTTGCCTCCAGTCAAAGTGCACAGTTGTGAAGGCCAAGGTGCTGGTTGGCGCCGCTCATGATCTTCCCATAGATCTCAGGGACCAATTTCCTGGTCCAAGCGGTGGTTCTTGTGGACACTGAGAGGATGCTTCCGCTAGAAACACGACTTGACTTGAAAAGCACCTTTCCTCCAGCTTGCAACCATTCCTCTGACAAAGCTGCTACGTCAATCTTTAGGTCAAGCCCTTCCGGGCTCTAGAAACCTTGGAACCGATCTTTCTTCGTGCACTGCCGTACCGAGGAACTCGGGGTCTTCGGAGTTCAAGCTCTGCCCCAAGCCACCGGCAGGTCCCAACTTGATCTTCCTCGGGCGAAAGAATGCTACGGTCCAAGCGGTCACAAAGCGGTGCACCTGTCTCAGCTGTGGCTCTGGATGACTGTGAACTGAAAGAGGGCGACCACGAGGCCCAAGAAACTGGAGACAAGAATGATCTTGTCGACCAAGAGCAGCTCCTGGGAGCAAGGTGATTGACGCACCATGCCCTGTATTCAGCGCGACCAATGTTGCGCTTTATACATACGTGTTGTCAAGCAAACACTCAGCACTGCTCATCTACTTGCAAAAATCAAGAGCTATGAACGAAAAGAATCAACATATACAGACCTTTTCACTCCACCTCCCCCACATATGAGGGTGTGCTTGCTGGCAGAACGACAAAAGAAACTGCGTGAACCAATTGCTTCATAGGGCCGGGACAGTTTTGGAAGTGGTTCCTATGTACTGGCTATGTGTGCAACAACTTAAAGCGGTTGCTGCTCGCAAAACTCTCAAGATTCAACCCAAATGTGTTTGTTGTTGCAAGATCTCTGGGAAAAAAAGCAAACATCAAAAGGTAGATCTTTCAAGGGAGTTAGCATAAACAAATACACAAAAACTAACACCCAAACTACTTGTAGGAACTATATAGCTTAAGCCCAGCGTCCATGACGTCAGGGCCCGCAGGCGTCGCAGAGGTGGATCGAAGCTAAAGGAACTCTGCCCAAAAACAGCTGAAGCCGAAGAGCCAAAATGAAAGCCAAAATCAAAGATGCAAAATGCAAACATGCAGAAGTCCTGCAACTCAAAAACATGTTGCAAACAAACATACAAAAAAAGTTGGTCATTGCAAACTTGCCCAGGCACTTCCAGTTCATCTCGTTGTGACAGAAGCACTTTGGTCAATGAGCCTGGGTGAGCATGCTTTAAAGTTCTCACATCCACCACAGTTCCCACATCACGTGTTCCTTCACAAAACAATCAGCTGTTCAATTGTTTCATGTCCCACATCACACCAAATCCGTTCGATCAAAACGAAGTGAAGGTGAAAAACTCAAAGGTTTAATCTCCCAAACCTGAAATCCCAAGAGATCTTTTCCACTCTGAAAAACATGAACTTTACCATCTCCCGGCAAACCTTTAACAATCTAACACACTGCACTTCAATCATGGGGACTTGGATTGGTTTCATCTTATGATCTTCATGATTTAAACGAGGAGCGACAGAAGATATTGGCACCCGTGTCCGAGCCTTGGGTCTCGTCCTTGGCAAAATGTTGTTAGGGAGTGCCCCCAAGGTGTTGTTGAGTGGCTCCGTTTCAAAAAGAGAAATCCTGCCGACGAAGCCGCTTCCCAGCTGCACGAGAATATTTCTAGAACTGGAAATCTCAGTGATGCGACAAAGAGTCTGAGTTTGCACAGTCGATAGCCATATCAAGCCTTGCTCGATGACAGAACACTTCAGTGTTCAACACGGCAAACCAAAGATTTGGTGAGGCGTTCTTGTGACCCATCTGCCAAAATTCAATGAAAGTGTCTGTTCTGCATGGGACATGGAAGCACACCAATTGATTCAACCAGATTGTAAAACGAGGCAGAAAACGTCAATCATGCTGCTGAAATGTTAATCCCACTGTGGTGCCACTGTGGTAGGTACTAATCAGTCACAAAATCCAATTCAATGATTCTTGATATGTTAACTAATGTCCCACAACATGTCCTGAGCTTGGCAGTCCTTCTGCTTTTGTTTCGTTCCCCGCTGATGGATATTTGTCCTTCTCAAACAAATGTTGATAATCAAACGAACATGAAAGGAAAGGAGTACAAAATATTATGAGCAAAAATGTTGTAGTATTGCCTTAGAGGAAAAATCTGCATCGACCTTGTCACACCACGACCCAACACATCAA